CTAGAAATTGGACTTAGTCTCCAAGTCCTGCCCTCTTCCTCCTAAGCATCTTATAAATCTGCCATTTCCTCTCTACTCCATCCCATCACTCTTAATTCTGGCACTTTAATAGCTTGTGTGGACTACTGCAGTAGGAAGCAGCTCCCTGCTTCTCTGGAGGCATTTCCAACACATCCCCTATAATGCCCCAGCTCTATGGAAATCAATATCTTAGTAAATCATTACACTACATTACACTGTTCAATGTCTCCCTATCACTCACAGAGCTATGGTTTCCAGACCTCAGTGTGCATAAGCAGCACCAGAGTTTACATCATGCAGATTCCTGGCCTCTCCCCAGAGATTGTGATTCTGTAAATATAGTTTGGAATCCAGGAATTCTCATTTTTAACAAGCGCCCCAAGGAATGCAAGTGGTTTATGCCCTATACTTTGAGAAACACAGGCATACAGAACAAAGTCCCAGCTCCTTATCAAGGACACACAACCTTTTCTCTGCTTCCATCTCACTTTATGTGGTGCTCCAGGATGACGGAATCACTTACAGTTCCTTGAACTGCTCAGTTTCTCACCTTCCTGCCTTTGCACCTACTCTCCCTTCATCTAAAATGCCCTTTCCTCCTTCCATCGGACAGACTCTTTCTCTTTCAAAGCCAGCTTAGGTTTAGCTGTCATCTCTAGGGACCTTTCTTACCTCCTCACTGCCTGCCAGCCTCCTTCTCCTGCCACCCAACTTCTGTGCCTCGATTCGTACTGAAGGTACATTTTTTACATGTCTGTCCCATTCTAGACTGTGGCCTCCTCTAGGGCAGAGTCAGAATCTCATCCCTCTCTTTATACCATGACCTAGCCAAGTGTCTGGCACATGGTAGGTGCTCAAACAGTAGAGCACATCTAACTAGGGGGCTGGATAATCGGTGGGGAAGGTGAAAATATGAGTCACATCTACTCCTGAACATCCTTTATATCACCCAGAAAGTGATGATTTACTCTCATGAATACACAAAATTAACACATTATTCAGAGTTGTTGAACGAACCCTAATACATGTATTATGAAACCTATATATCTTTAAGCACAAACTCAGTGCCACAAGGAGCTCAGGAGGTGTGAGACCAGTTGAGGGAACGGCAGAATCACGGCTCAGACTCACCTTAGACATGTAGCTGAATTTCAATGAATTCTGCATTACATGTGGCAGGCTTTAACACATGAATGAAGGGACTGTTCAAATCATGAATGTTCTATTATCATGCACCTAAAGCCTGATTGTACGGAGAAATTTAAAGTTCTAAAACAAAAGGATAACTGTGAAAGAAAGTTGAACTCTTCTAATTATTAATACAAGCTCTACCCATTTGTAGCCAACAGCACATATGTTGAGAAGACAAGTTCTCGGGAGGCCAGCACTTTCTGTCTGATATTCCCAGCATAGCTGCATGCGTGGGAATACATGTGAATGACTGACCTTGAGCTTATTGCATTGTTGCCTGGTCTGTGCATCCCTGGGCCTCAAAACTGGGAAGAGAAAGTGGTGAGCAGGAAGTTCAATCATGCAGTAAGTCACAACTTGATCCTATTCAAACGGGCAAAGTTCTTATGCAAAGTAGTCTTCTGGGTATTGTTGGGGTTCCTAAACGATTAAAGACATCATCCTTGACTTCAAGTAATTTATAATCTTATCAGAAAATAAGACCCAGCCATAAATAATAATAATCACAGTGGATTCTAAAAGAGTAGGTGGTATTTGAGGGAAGGATAAAGTTGGGGAAAGAATTCATGGGCAAAGGCGCCCAGGTGTGAAAGTACAGAGGGCCTTCAAGGAGCAGTGGGCTCCAACACTTACTTGTCCAGCCTCATCTCCAGCCAGTGCCCTCATCACTTTGCATTCCTCTGACCTTTGCTCATCCTGCAAATCTCGTGGGATGTGTCCCCCTACAACATCAATCATGTTCACTCCTCTTCATCTTTCTTTTCCTCTTCACACTGGTCTTTCTGCCCGGGATGTCATTTCCACTTGTCAACTTGGATAAATCCTACTCATTGTTCACGTCTAGTTTAAATTCCTTCTCATTTCTATAGCTTTTCATCACCTAACCCACAGTATTAGAGTTAGTTGGTCATACATCTGTCACCCTAAACTGTAAGCTCCTTGAGGAAGATCTCATTTCTTTCATCTCTTTATTTCCATTATGTAGCATAGTGCCTGGCAGGCACTAGATGCTCTAGAAATGGTTTTATTTTGTTTTGTTTTTTTGAGTTATATTATTGCATAGTGAGTAGTGTCTTTCAGCTAGACTCTGGATTAGAAGTTAAAGTTAAAGAGCAATAGGCCAGTGAGACGGGCCTTTCTTTCTGCCTCTATATACCTTAGGTGTATAGCATCTGTTACGGGCTGAACTGTTTCCCCCCAAAATTCATATGTTGAAGTCTCAACCTCCAGTACCTCAGAATTTCACTGTATTTGGAGATAAGGTCTTTAAAGAGGTGATTAAGTTAAAATGAGGCCATTGGGGGGGCTCCAACCCAATATGATTGATGTCCTTATAAGAGGGAGAGACACCAGGGGTGTGCATGCACAGCGGGCCAACCATGTGAGGACAAAGCAGCAAGAGGGCGGCCATCTACAAGCCGAGAAGAGAGGCCTCAGAAGAAATCAACCCTGCAGCCACCTTGATCTTGGACTTTCAGCCTCCAGAACTGTGAGAAAATAAATTCCTGTTGTTTAAGCCTCCCACTCTGTGGTATTTTATGGCAGCTCTAGCAAACTAAGATACCATCTTTACTTCATTAATAAACTTGGACACAGTGCTATATACTGGGCACTGTTCTAAGCCCTTTATGAATGTTTAAACATTTAAACACCCTCCCACCAGTGCCAGTGAATCACTATGGCTGCACTTCTCAATGGGTAGAAGAGGAGAAGAGTATACCCCCTTCCTCCGGGGTGGGAGCTGGAAATCAAAATCAGTATTTCGGAGGGAAGCACTCCTAAGAGATGTCTCTTTCCTCAGGTGAGAATCGCAGGCGGAGATGACGATGATTAAAAGTAACAACCATAGTAAAAGAATAGCTACCATTAATTGAGCACTTACTGTACATAGGCAAGTGCCAAGCATAGTAGAAGAATTCTCTCTCATTTCACCTCCATAGCAACCTTAATAGCTAGGTAATATTTCATTCCCTTTATAGAGGAGAAACCAGGTTCAGAAAGGGTAAGCTAGTTGCCCCGCTGGTGAAGAGAATTAGGATTGAGACCCAGATCTGTGCTTTTCTCTACTCTGCACACTGCCCAGGGAAGTAGACTGGGGTCACTTGGCTGGGGGAGCGGAGGCTTTAAATTCGAGACTGTGTTTGTTCTTAAGGCAGGAGATCAACGGGCAGCAGCAAGTTAAATTTTTTGAGAAGAAAAGGTAGCAGGGAAAATCCAACAGCCTTAATTGCGTGTAGAAAACAATGGCTTTCATTTATTTAGCTCCTCCTACACGCCAGGCACTAAGCTTGAAACTTAGATCTGAGAAGCAGATATTTATGTATTTTCATTTTATGGACATGGAAATTGAAGCCAAGGAAAACTGTCCAAGGTTCAAGTAACTGGAAGAACAGGAGCAGCAGACCTGGGAGGCTCCCAATCCTGCACCCGCCCTAGCTCGTCCACTCTGCTTTGGCTGGTGTACCAACAACTTCCGCACCCACAGTGCACAAATGGCCAGTGAAGGCACCAGGGCCTCCATGCTCTGAATGGACAAGTTACATATCACATCACAGTCTTTACAAGATTCAGCCTAAAGTTTTAACATAGAGCAGCTTTTGCCCAAGAACGTTCCAAGGAGTTTTAGTTTCCCAAGGAGTTCCATGGAAAAAGTTCTATGGTCAGAAAGTTTGGAAGTGTTGCCTGTTATCCCTCCACTGCCTTGGAGACTTACAAAGCACATCAACAGATTCTAAAGTTTCTGCAGTAAAAAAAAAATCTGTTTCCTTCACTTAAGGTTTCCCCAATCTATTTGAACCATAGTTCAACATGTTTCCCTACATGTTAATATACCATGTAGCATCCTTTTAGAGATACTGCAATATAGGACTAAAGCAGAAAGAGAAGTAGGCTGGAGCTACTTTCAGAAACCTAACTAAAATGCAGACTTTTTTTTCTTAAGAATTACAAAGTCTATTGATATTTACACTTAGTTTGCTTTCTATCGAGCAAATAAACCGTTTTTAAAAATCAGAGGCAATAAATCGGACAAAAGAAGGGCTATTTGCATTCCCAAATCTCTTGGCTCATCCTGCGCCTTTCCGCTTCTGTCCCAACCACATTCCATTCTCCAGATTTCCACCCACCTCCCTTCTTTGGGGCTGCTCTCCAGCTATACACAACTGGAGGTGACCACAACTTGCAATGCACCACGTCCCTCATCCCCAGCCCTTACAATGTAAAAGCAATGAGAGGGAGGCATCAGACTCCCCTGCCCACTGGACAGCCCGAGCTGGCAGATTTCAGAGAAACACATGAAGTTATCTGATATAAGGATCTCTCTGCTTTCGCGTTAGGCAGGAGTACTCTAAAGACAGTCCCATGGGGGGGGGGATTGCCAACATTTCCTTTAAAATTTCCAGATTATGAGTGCTGTGGTTTTTCTAATTCTCTTTTTGCTTATTTTCAGTTTCCAATTTTCTACAATGAAAATGCAGCACTTGTGTGTCAAAAAGGAGGAGGAGGGGGGAGAGAGGAGGGAGATGGGGAAGGAGGGGAAGGAGGAGACGGAGGCAGGAGGAGCGAGAGGGAAGGGAAGAAGGCGGAGGGAAAAGGGGGAAGAGAAAATAAATCATAAAATCTCCAGAGAAAGAGAACGCATAAGCTCACCTAACAAAACACACCCGTATCTCCCAACACCTCCAGGGAGAAGTGTAGACCTGCAATGTTCCTATTTGCAACCACATTTTCCCAGGTACCCCTAACCCAAGCACCGCTCATTCTTCTGGTCAGCGACGCCTTCTCCTTACCCACTCGGAAGATCAAATCGTCCTCGATGGGATTCTCTTTTCGTTTTCCAGTGCTGTACATGCTCGCGGGTCTTTTCACAGCTTTCTGCTTCACGTGGCCGCTGCCCGGGGACTTCACGCGCCTCTTCACGCCCTCGGTGGTGGGGGACACGTCGGCTGAGCGGATCACTTTCAGCTTAAAAGGGCTGCCTCGGATGTGCTGGTCGTAGAGCCTGAGAGAGAGGGTAAAGTCCCCTTCCTTCTGGACCGTGTACAAAAACTCGTACGTGCCGTTTTTGTTGTCGAGTATCTCTCCGTCCGCCACACTGCCGTCGGGCGTGCTCAGTTCCGCGGTGATGTAGGCATTGCCGGTTTTGCAGAGCTCCCCGTCTTTGTCCTTGGTTGTTATGGTAACGGACATGGGCTGCCCGATGATGGTCTGCCGCAGCCCTTCGCCCGTGGCCACCGTCTCGGAGGCGACGGCGTTGGTGGTTAAAATCGTCCCGAGGTTGTGGATGGACTTCTTGAGCCCTTCGGTCTCCACGATGAAATCCAGCTGATCATTTTCCCGCGGGTGCAGGGGGAAATCTTGGTCAGCCAGCTCGTTCAGCTTCTCGCTCATCTGCTTCTTCACCAGCAGTACCTCGGTCTCCGTGCCATGGTTGAGGGCCTGCGCAGTGAAGTTGCTGCAGCTCTTAATACTCTCCTGCCCCTGGAGCAGCGTATCCAGCTGCGACTGAAGGACCTGCGGGAAAAACCGGGGCGGGGTGAGCGCCTCTTGCAGGCTCAGCCTATTGGACGCTGCGCGGCGACGCGCTGGGGCAGTGCCCTCCGCGGGCGAGAACCAGGCTCTGCGCCTGCGCACGCCGGTGGCTCTCAGCAAGCGGTGTTTATTTTACCCCAGTGGACCGGGTTCTAGTGCATAATCTGCATAATCGTCAATTGCATTCCCACTACCTTCTCTTTCGCCTGCAGCCCGCCCTGTCTCTCCCACACACGTATTTCTTGGGTCACGTGTTTGCGATAGGAGCAAGCAGAAACATCACCACTAAGAGCTTGGCAGACAGATTGCTATGCCTGACATCTGAAATATTCCTTATTCAGTATCTTTCCCTAATGTCCCAAACTCCCCTGTCACCACCTAAAAGAACAGAAACCAGACTAATGAAAACTCTCCACACATGAATATCAGAAGCTTTTCTTGCCTGGTTTTGTGATTCGATGTGCTGAGTAAAAGGCTGCAGTCAGGGTTTACTTTGAAGTTGACTAACAGGTTGGTGAGGGTGAGAGAGCAATTAAGACTATTAGACATTAAGGAAGGAAAACAATCCAGTTTAACCCTAAATCCTGAAAGCATTACTTTATATTCAACCTTGCCTTGAGTCAAATTATAAATTGGATCATAGAGTTTTGCTGAAATCATAGAGTTTTGCTCAAAACAGGAAGGAAAAAAAATAGCTGGATATGCCATTAAATGAAAACTACTGTTTACAACAGTGACACTTAAGGAGGCATTTGAGTCCCTTTGCTGCTGTTAGAACACAGTAAGTTACTGCAGTGAAGTGCCCTGGATATCATGTCTCTTACAGGATAAGGATGGCTGGAGTCTTACTTTGTGTTTGAGGCCATAGTTGACCTCCAGTTCCATAAGCAGCACACTCTTGCGCACGTTTAACGTCTTCTGGAGCTCATCAAAGGTAGAATGGATGTCCTCCACAATGCTGGCTTTTTGGTTGGTTAACTGATGAATGATTTCTGAGATGAACTGAAGAGCAGAATCTATTTCTGGGAGCCTGGAGGACAGTTGTTAAAGATATTTTTATTTAACATCAACCCGGAAATAGTAAAAAAAAAATCTATCTAAACACTATATTTTGTTAAAAAATATTTTCTGTGCCTTTTATCATCTTTAAAAGGTAATAACTAAAGTACAAAATGAATAAGACATGACATAATTACTGCCTTTAAGAGAAGAGACTTTGAGGGTCCATGTCTATTTCAATCTACTTCAATCATCTAGTTTTAATAATTGATGGTACAAAGCCTTGAAGCTCTCTGAACTGCATGGCTTCTCCTCACACACTAAAGCAGGCTTTCTCAAACTTGACACTGTTGATATTGTGGGCCAGATAATTCCTTATTGCAAGGCACTGTCCTGTACATTGTAGGATGTTTAACAGCATCCTGTCGTCTACTGGACCCCAATAGCACCCCCCCACACACAGTTGTGACACCAAATTGTTTCCAGGCATTGCCGAATATCCTGGTGTGTGTGTGTGTGTGTATAATTTTCCATGGCTGAGAATCACTGTTCTAAATGTATAGCGGTATCTTTTTCCAATCACATGAGAAACTTACACAAACTCAGGAGTTTCCTGGGAACTTCTTGAAAGTTTACAAGTTCTCTTAATTAGTATAGAATAACCACACATGTCACTATAGCTATTGGTGAAGAAATTTATTTTCAGCTGGCTAGTTATTTCCTCTCTTCGGTCTTTCTCATGCATCATGGAGCTACTCTGTTCCTTCATTTCCATGCCAAAGAAAGAGCTCAGAAACATAAGGAAAATTGAGCGATCCCCACTCAGAACTATTTTCCTGGGCTCGAACAGAGAGCAGCCAGTCACAGTCGACATAATGGGCCTATAAGTATGTCAAGAACAGCAGCTAAGAAAGGCTGTTCATAGATCCTGAATTTCAGAGATCCCCTGAGGGTATTTTCCTCAAGTGTCTTTTCCTTGAGTACATTTTATTCATTTAGTCATACTAACGGACTACCACAAAAATGCTACAACTCACACAACTCAAGACTAAATACATTCTCAGAAGCCAATGCAAGAAAAGACTGCTTTGGACCAGGGAGAAAGAAGCCAATGGTAACTGCTTCGACTGACAGAAACCTTCACCTGAAAAATAATTTTAATACACCTGTTTGCCTTTTCTCCTACATTAGAAATACAACAAAACAAAAAGAAAAAAAAAACTTCCCATTTTATTTTGTTTTTTTCTTTATCTTTAGAGGCATTGAAATCCCCTGTCTGGTTAACTTTAGGTTTTACCCATTGTCAACAATCTCAGAGAAAGCCTCAAATAGTAGCCCACATAAGGGGGTTGGAAGTTTGTCAAGGGACAGGGGACAACGGTCATCACTCATTGGTTTATGACTATAGACCCATGATCAAAGGAGAATTTATTAGGTGACATGAACCTACAATCCCAATGAGACAAGAGACCCTGAGGCCAAGTCTGGGGGAGGGGTGCACACCTTTTGTTGACAGCGTCCAGCTGGACCTGGAGTGAGGCCTTGTGCTGCTCCACCACGTCCTTGAGGGGGACTGTGGGGTGTTCCGCGTGCTCCCCCTCAGTGCACTCCCGACACATGGCGGTCTCGCAAGACTGGCAGTAAAAGTCCATCACCTGCGGGTGACACAAGAACAGTTCCAGGTTCGGTGCCAGTGACTGCTTACTATCCACCTGGCCTTGACTTGCATCCTCTCGTTTAATTCTCACAGCCTCCCCAGGACGTTGGCAATATTATGTCCAGTTTCACAGGAGAAAAGGAAGGATCAACTTTTACGTGCCAGGTCTCAAACAGAGATGCGTTGGACTCCAAAGCTGCTGCTGTGGCCACACAGCCAGCTTTTCTGTGGCTACTCCACTCAGGCAGAACAGTGTGGGGATGTGCTGCTCAAGATTTTAGCCACACCTTTACACTATTCATCAATTATTGAGGATTCCAAAGTGCTTTTGTTTGCGCGAGTTCTATCTATAAATATTTATCATATTAAAAATTGAAACTGAGAAAAATGTTAAATATTTATTAATTTATTAAAAGCAATAAGCCCATTCAATGTTAACGTGAACAATATATTTTATGAAAAATAACTATGTTTTTCAAAACAAAAAATTTTGTGAGAAGAATGGTATTGTTTTCCATTTTGTAAATCTTGTCAGTGTCTGCCTTAATAGAAGACAGCTGGATTCTTATATTTGCTTCTGCATTCAATCTGTTTCGATAGCACACATCGTATAGTCTCTGGAAAATTCCACTGTACACTCTTGAGAGAATGAGAGTGAAAAGGGTCAATAATGTTTTAGTACAATCATAAATACAGTTTTGACTTTGCGAACCTCCCCTGAAAGGATCTTGGGACCCATGAGGGTTTCTGGACCACACTTTGAGAACTGCTGCTATTCGGTTAAGAGCTGGACTGAGCAGTTTGCAGCCTGGTTCCACCACTTGTGTAAACTCACTGTGTCTCGATTTTTCTCTGTCAAATGGAGACAACAATAATAGTAACCTACTTCACAGGGCTGCTATGAGGATTCAGTAGATTAATATGCACAAAGAACTTAGATGATGCCTGGCACTGGCACATAGTAAGTTCTTAATAAGTAGCAGCAGTGAGGAGGAGGAGGAGGAGGATGCTTACCTGGAAATAAAACCACCTTTTCCTGATTGTGATGAACTCTCAGTAACAATATAACATAAAGCCTGAAAGTTAGTTTCCTTGTGAAGGCATTCCCCTTATTCTCTCAGCTGGAAATAACTTCTTCCAATTTTGAATTCCCAAAGAACTTTTTGGGTGGATCTTTTTCTTGAAGTATAGCACACATGCAGAAAATGGCATAAATCCTAATACATCCATGAAATTGATGGATTTTCACAAAGTGAATGCACCCACAAAAGAAATTTTATTCCTACCTCATTTATGAAATATTTATAAGATTTTAAGTTACCGAGCACAGGAACTCTCTGACCCAGAGCCTAGGTAATTCCTTGCACATAGTAGGTATTCTGTAACACTGCTGAATGAGTGAACTCTATGCTGTCTGTAAGAGACTCACTTTAGATCCAAAGCCACAAATAGGTTGACACTAAAAGGATGGAAAAAGATATTCCATGCAAATAGTAACCAAAAGAGAGCTTGAGTACCTATTCTAATATCAGACAAAACAGACTTCAAGACAAAAGTTGTTATAACAGACAAAGAAGGACATTATATAATGATAAAATGGTCACTCCACCAAGAAGATATAACAATTATAAACAAATATGTAGCCAACAACAGAGCCCCAAAATATATGAAGCAAAAACTGACAGAATTGAAGGAAGAAATGGACAGTTCACCAATAATAGTTGGAGATTTCGTATATTTCATATATTCATATACTCCACTTTCAATAATGATAGAACAACTAGATGGAAGATCAATAAAGAAAGAGAGAACTTGAACAATATTATAAACCAACTAGACCTAACAGACATATATAGAACACACTATTCAATAATAGAATACACATTTTTGTCAAGTACACATGGAACATTCTCCAGAATAGATCATACATTAGGTCACAAAAGTCTCAATAAATTTAAAAAGATTGAAGTCATACAAAGTATCTTTTCTGGCTACAATGGAATGAAATTATAAATCAATAACAGAAGGAAATCTGGAAAATTAATAAATATGTGGAAATTAAATAACATAATGGATCAAAGAAGAAATCACAAAGGAAATTAGAAAATACTTTGAGATGAATAACAATGAAAACACAGCATATCAAAACTTATGAGAGACAGTGCTCAGAGCAAAATTTACAGCTGTAAATGCCTACATTAAAAAGAAGGAAGATCTCGGGGCTGGCCCTGTGGCTTAGCGGTTAAGTGCGGGCGCTCTGCTACTGGCGGCCCTGGTTCGGATCACAGGCGCACACCGATGCACCACTTCTCCGGCCATGCTGAGGCCACGCCCCACATACAGCAACTAGAAGGATGTGCAACTATGACATACAACTATCTACTGGGGCTTTGGGGGGAAAAAAAAGGAGGAGGATTGGCAATAGATGTTAGGTCAGAGCCGGTCTTCCTCAGCAAAAAAAAGAGGAGGAGTAGCATGGATGTTAGCTCAGGGCTGATCTTCCTCACCAAAAACAAAAAAAAGAAGGAAGATCTCAAATCAATAACCTAAGCTTCTACCTTAAGGAACTAAAAAAGAAGAACAAGCTAAACCCAAAGCAAGCAGAAGAAAGAAAATAAAGATTAGAGTGGAGATAAATAAAATAGAGAACAGAAAAACAATAGAGAGAATCAATGAAAACAAAAGTTGGTTCTTTGCAAAGATCAACAAAATTGACAAACAGAATACCATGGACAGTTGTATGCCAACAAATTGAATAACCTAGATAAAATGGACAAATTCCTAGAAACACACAAACTACCAAAACTGACTCAAAGAAGAAACAGAAACTCTGAATAGAACTATAATAAGTAAAGAGATGAGTCAATATTAAAGAAACTCCCAACAAAGAAAAGCCCAGGAACGGAGGGCTTCACTGTGAATTTTACAAAACATTTAAAGAAGAATTAACATCAATCCTTCCAAACTCTTCAAAAAACAGAAGAAGAGGGAACATTTCCTAACTCATTCTATTAGGTGTGTAATACCCTGACACCAAAGCCAAAGACATCACAAGAAAAGAAAATTACAGACTAATATCCCTTATGAATATAGAGGCAAGAATTCTTAACAAAATATTAGTAAACTGAATCCAGCTGCATATTAAAAAGATTATACACTATGACCAAGTGGGATTTATCCCAGGAATGCAAGGGTAGTTCACATATAAAACTCAATATATATAATACACCACACTAATAGAATGAAGGAAAAAAAACCCCACGTGATCATCTCAATTGATGCAGAAAAAGCATTTGACAATATCCAACACCCTTTCATGATAAAAACACTTATCAAACTAAAAATAGAAGTAAACTTCCTCAACTTGATAAAGGGCATCAACAAAAAACCCAAGGCTAACATTATACTTAATGGTGACCCTCTAAGATCAGGAACAAGACAAGGATGTCCACTCTTGACACTTCTATTCAACAATGTACTGAAAGTTCTAGCCAGGGCATCTAGGCAAGAAAAAGAAATAAAATGCATCCAAATTGGAAAAGAAGAAGTAAGAATTTCTCTATCCAGAGATGACACGATCTTATATAGAGAAAATACTAAAAAATACACATGAACTATTAGAATTAAAAAATGAATTCAGCAAAATTGTAGGATACAAGATCAACAAACAAAAATCAATTGTATTTCTATACACTAGTAATGAACAATCCAAAAATGAAATAAGAAAAGAATTCCATTTATAATAGCATCAAAAAGAACATTAAATACTTAAAGAATAGATTTAACCAAGAAGGTGTAAGATTTGTACACTGAAAACTACAAAACATTGTTGGTAAAAAACAAAGAATACCTAAATAATGGAAATAAATGGAAAGATATCCCATGTTCATGAATTGGAAGATTTAATGTTGTTAAGAGGGCAACATTCCCCAAATAGATCTACAGATTCAATAAAATATATGTCAAAATTCCAACTTCTTTTTTCACAGAAGTGAACAAGCTGTTCCTAAAACTCATGGAATTGCTTGGGACCCTGAATAGCCAAAACAATCTTGAAAAAGAACAAAATTGGAAGACTCATACTTCCCAATTTCAAAACTTACTACCAAACTAGAGTAATCAAAATAGTGTGTTAGCCAGCATAAAGACAGGCACAGAGATCAGCTGAATAGAATTGAGAGTCCAGAATAAGATCATACATTTATGGTCAATGATTCTTGACAAGAGTGCCAAGACCACTCAATGGGGAAAAATAGTCTTTTCAACAAATGATGCCAAGACCACTGGATATCCACATGTAAAAGAATGAAGTTGAACCCTTACCTCACTCCTTACACAAAAATTAACTCAAAATAGATTAATGACCTAAATGTAAGAGCTAAAACTATAAAACTCCTAGGAATAAACATAGGGGTAAATCTTCATGACCTTGGATTTGGCAATGGATTTCTAGATATGACACTGAAAACACAAGCAACAAAAGAAAAAAATAGATAAATTGGACTTCATCAAATTAAAAACTTGTGCATCAAAGGACACTACTCAGAAAGTGAAAAGAAGGGGAAAAATATTTGCTAGCCAAATATCTGATAAGGATGTAGTATTCAGAACATATAAAGAACCTCCAACTCAAGAACCCAATTCAAAATCGGCAAAGGACTTGAATACACATTTCTCCAAAGAAGATACACAAATGGCCAATTTGTACAAGGAAATATACTCAGTATCATTAGTCACTAGGAAAATGCAAATCAAAACCACAGTGAGATACTGCTTCACACTGACTAGGATGGCTAGACTCAAAAAGTCAGACTTTTTAAAAAAAAGTCAGATAATAACAAGTGTTGGCAAGAATGTGGAAAAATTGGAACTCATACTTTGATAGTGGGAATGGTGTAGCTGCTGTGAAAACAGTTGGTGGTTCCTCAAAAGTTAAACATTGAATTACCATATCACCCAGCAATTCCACTCCTAGGTATATACCCAAGAGAGCTCAAA